TCTAAGCAAGTTGACCCTACCGAATCAACCCTAATCGTTTTCATGTCATATGTGTATGTTGAACTCACAGCTAAAATAAGATATCAATCCCTCCTTGCTTTTCGAGTTACCTGGTCTTCGAGTGATCCTAACACCATCATAATCTGCAGTTGTGTTCATCATATTGATCATGTTCTGTGTCGTGCATGGAAACTAGAAAGAACTAGGTGCAACTAAACTGGTCAGAGCACGCTCCATATATATATTTATTACAAGAAATAAAATTTATATATATATATATATATATATAAATAGCTTTTTGAAGTTTTAAATGGCTTGAATAGTGCCTTTGATAAAAAGTTTAGATCTTTAATTTTACCTCCCTAAACTAATCCTTAATCAAACATTCAGAGTAATTATGAAATGCTTCTAGAAATTTACTTGGTTTCTCTTGGAAGATTCGTGCCTGCTGAGGCCATTTGCATTCTTGATTGTCTCATTAAGCTAACTCTTAATCAAACATTCAAAGTAATTATGTAATGCTTCTTGAAATTAACTTCGTTTTCTTTGAAATATTCGTGCCTGCTGATGCCATTTGCATTCTTCATATTTGTCTCAATAAACTAACCCATAATCAAACATTCAAAGTAATTAATTGTAAAATGCTTCTTGAAATTAACTTAGTTTCTCTCGGAAGTTTTGTGCTTACTAATGCCATTTTGCATTCTTGATATATATTCTATAACAATTTATTTTAATGACGTTTTTATTCTCATAATTATTTTCATATCATTCACTTTTTTTTCATTAACTATTCGCTATTTTATAACTTCTATTATTTTTTAATTTTATTTAGAAGTGTAAGCATGAATGAGGAATTTCTAGCTAAAAGAAGTGAGTTTGGATTGAAAGGATGAATTTAGTTTAAGTAATGTATTTTTATTTTAAAAAATACACGAAATTACATATAGTGTCAATTTTACGTTAATATATACATTTTTTGTAATATACTCTCACCTTTTTGTTAAAATACATTAACAATTTAGACATAAGTTTTGGAAAGAAAACAATATTTTTTTTGCATTGCTACAGATTCTAACAAAATCTGAAATTTCGTCCGAATCATTAAAAAAATTATTATTTTTTAATAAATTTATTATAAAATATAATATTTTATAATAAATTTATTTAAAAATAATTATTTTTTTAATGATTTTGACGATATTTCGAATTTTACACTTTTAGAAGATACAACATTTTCTTATCTTTTTATATTAGGAACATGGTATTAATTTACTATTTAGTATTTTTTACAATTATAAAATTGGCTATTCCTTTCTCTGTCTCTCTCTTAGTCATTTCTTAGACAGTCATCAACGGCACCATAGTTGTCACACAACCCACCAATGTTTGCTATGTCGTCTCCACCAACTACCCACGTGCTGCAAGTGCGACAAATTTTTTTAAAAAAATTATATAAACTTTTATATATTACGCCATAAATAATTTAAGAGTTAATTATTTATATATTATTAGTGTAAAAAATTTTATATTAATAATTAATTATATTTTTTAATTATTTTATTTTATTTTATTTCATTTTATTAAATAAATAAATAATATAATATTATTAAAAAAATATAATTAATTATTAATATATAAAAAAATTTACATTAATAATATATAGATAATTACTCATAATAATTTAATCTACATGTATTTTGGAGTCCCTACCCCAAAGATTTGTTTTTGGCAAGATCTGCCACTGCTACGATTCCACACAGGAACAGAACCCAATGCGTGTCATCATCCTCATTTCGATCAATAAAGGGATCAATGGTAGTTACTTTCAAATAAAAAAGTATTTTAACATGCGTATATTTTTCTCCTAATTTCCTAGCTAGTTATTTTATTCTCTCTTTTATCTTTCTCCTCTCTCCTTGTAACTTTCTTTCTTTCTTTCTTTTTTAAAGATGAAATCGATTCTTAGTATATTGTGATTCTATCTATTTATCACTTTTTTAAATTAATATCTTTTTACATTTTATAATTAACTTTTGAATTTTACTTATTTCATTTTTTTCTTATTAATTGCAAATTAATAACTTTGGCTTATACATGAGACTTATTAGACTAATAAATTTATTTTGTACATTCTAAAGATAAATTAACTTTTTTGAAATTAATAAAAGTAAGGTATATATATATATATATATATATATATATATATATATGTATATATTTAGTTCATGTGAAAAGAATGAGTTTTAATTTTGGTCTTGTAAAATATAAGTAGATTTTAATTTTCATTTTTAAAAAATATTTTTTTTTAATTTTTATCTATATAAAATTTAAAGTCATTATTTTTTTTTGTTTCTAATAACTATTTATTGATATATATATATAACATATATTTTAGAGATTCATAAAAAAATTAGAAATCTCACATGCAAATAAAGCATTACAAATAGTTATGAGTATCATTTGAGATAATCACGTAATCTTCTAATAAATATATGAGCAACTAAAAAATGTCACATAGTAACAAGGACTAAACCAATAATTTAAACTTTTATAGATAAAAAACAAAGAAATTTTTTTATAGAAACCAAAATTAAAATATAGTTATTTTACTGGATTTAAAACAAGTTTAAGTCTAAAAATATAAATTATTTGATGTATATTTAGTTAATTATTAAATTTTGCAATAATTAATTATTTTTAATAATAAAATATAAATACATATAAATTCTTTAAAAAATCGTATGTTTAATATACATATATTTTATTTATTAAATTATTGAATGTAGTAAATAATATTAATGAAAAAAAATAATTTATGTTTATTAACATACATGTGAATATTTAATTTATCGAAAACGTTGTGTCAACAACTATCAAAAAAACAGTTCTGATTTAATAGTTAAACTTGTAATTAACTAAAAGTTATATTAATTAGATGGAATATGCGTTATATATTTTAAGTCCTTAACTAACTGAAATTTAATCTATATTATTAAAAAAAACACTTGTTTGTTTATGATTTTATAATTACAAAAATATATATTTTTGAAAAGCCCAAGATATTTGATAATATTTATACAAAAATAAAAATTCATAGTCTTAACTCTTAATATTTTGAAAAGTAATATATATATATATATATATATATATATATATATATCATCTGTTCTCTATTATATGTAAAAAAAAATAAGAAAAAAATTTAATTTTACTAATTATGAAAGTTAAATATCTACATTAAATTTTAATATTTTTATAATATTTTTTAAAAACTATTTTTATCATAATATTTTAAAAAGAATATTATTAAATAAAATAAAAATAATTAAAATTTATTTATATTTAAAAATATAAAAAAATATTATTATTTTTTTACTTATACAGATAGAATATATATATGCATACATATCCACACATACCGATATTGCGAATGCCCCTTCACTAGGTGGAATTTCCCTATTAATTTCCACATAGAAATCCAGACAAAACATGTCATCATTTAATTTGTTTTGCCTCATATGCATGGTCATTACTCATTATATTGGTGACAGCCCCACCACTTCATAATTTGAAGTTGACTTGATTCCCCTATATATCATTCCCCTAATTAGCCTCTATTAATATAAGATAATTGAGCATTGAGATCATACAAATTACAAAAGCACGTACGTATATCTATAGCATCCGTGGGTTAACTACATATGCTGCCAGTTTTCAAATAATCATTAGTTGCATCTATATATATATATACATATAACTTAGACTCACCCAGATATAATTCCTCTCTGGATCTCCTTCTTCATTGTTTAAAATCACATACACATACGTTGCTTATAGCAATTTATTAATTGCCTTCTACAATTGCATGCAAATGTGTAGTATGAACTGGCATCGTTTTCCTGGCTAATTAAGTAAATTAATGCAGTTAGTGTTGAATAGAGGAAGCAAAAGGAGGAATCAGGAATGAGGCTTGTGGTAATTGCACTAACACTCATGATGCTAGCAAGTTCTTGCATGGTATACGTACTGATAAGAAGACTTGATTTGGTTGACAACACAGGGAAGGTGTATGGCTACAGTGATATTTTACATCCTCAGTATTACTAAATTAAAAGTATATTATATGCTAATTTAAATTAATATAATTAAATATTATATAATTTAAACTTTGTAATAATTTATAAACTTAATTTATAAATTAACTTTTTAATTTAACGATTTAATCATTAAAATTTAATATAAATCATAAATTATTAAATAAAATAATGTAATCTTACGATAATTATTCTTTAACTGAGTGAATCTAATCCCAAGCATGTGGTTCAGCGGTAATTGATCCACGCTTAAAAAAAGTCAGGGGTTCGAATCCTGCTTTGTATATGCAGTCGCGTTAAATCTTGGGGCCAGCTATCTCACCCTTTGAGGTGCCTCCCTCGTAGCGAGGAGATTAGTCACTGCTATCGGCAGTGAATACTCCAGAGACGAACCAAAAAAAAAAAACTGAGTGAATCTATTTTCGTATGTATAAAATTTTTTGTAATGTTTGATACATATGTATGACATACAAATACGTGCATAACTGCTAGATGTCGCCACATGAATCCATTAATTAGTTATATGCATCGCCATATTAAATTAATAAGATAATCTAACAGTAAAACCGCGTATCCGGCCATTGCGGGTAATTTCTTTGAGGTAGATTTGAAATGATTGTTCTACTTATTTGTGTTTCCCAACATTCAACCAAGTTGGACAGAGCACGTACACAAATAGAAAAGAAAGAAAGAAAAGAAATCAACGATACAATTAATTCTACCTACATGACCAATGCTACTGCCTTAGGTGGAGTTTCCCTATTTTGTCCACATAGAAATACAGACAAGCATATCATCATTAAATTTGTCTAATTAACATTTTAATGGACATCGCACTAAATCTTTACCACATAACGTCAATGGTGACAACCCCACCATGATATTATTCGAAGATGACTTCCTTATTCCCTACCTCACATTTTATTTCACTCCATATGCCCCTAGCTAGTCCATATTTAAGCATGCTTGAGCCTCGACCTTTCTTCTCCGTGTAAGATCACCCACACAGAAAGGTTAACATCTTAGCTGCATCTGGTAAATTATCTAAACTTGTTGCTTGATTCTTGCATGATAGTCTGTGTGTATAAGAGCGTGTTTAAATACAAGTTTGTAAAATAATTTAAGATTTTTTTATTAAAAAATATTCTTTATTTTAGTAAATAATTTCTCAAAAATTTTCTTGACTGTATCAAAACATGTTCTAACCTACATTCTTAATTTCTTAGCCTCTCTTAATCGTAGTTTAAAGTCATATACATGGATATATCATGTCCTATATATTTAGCATATAAGTGCTTCTACAGCATGAGCTCACTTTTTTTCTTTTTTAGGCTGAGAAAATTAATCGAAGAGAATGAAGTTTGTGGTGATTACACTAGTGTTGATGCTGGCAAGCTCTTCTATGGCTATAGATAGGAAGAAATTCGTGACCAAATTGGACGAGGGAGAACTGAGTAATGAAACTGATGATAATGATCACCATGAAATCCCTCGCAAGGAGTATGGCAAACCAGGATATGGCCCACGTACAGTGAGTGAGGAGGGTAATCACCATTACATCCCTCGCAAGGACTATGGGAAACCTGGCCAAGAAGGAAAAGGAACGTGATTTGTAGATGAAGGATGCATCTTATGTCTGTATATATGCACACAAGTCTTAAGTGTTTGATGAGTAATAATGAATGCTATATAGATATGTGTGTTGGTAAGATATGCATGCAACGAATTACTGTGATTAATTTAGCAAATTATGTTGAGGATGTACGTGTCCAATGTCCATATCGGTTCGTAATTAAGAATGTATGAGTTGGAACCCTAGGTAAAGCTATGTTTGTGATTCTATATATATATATGATCATAGCTAGCTAGCTCTGGTGTCGCAATAGAATCATAGTTTAGTTTGTTTAATGAATAAAGAAGACTTGGTTTGATTAATTGTATATTTGTATGGTTTCCAATAGTTCCATGTTCCAACCATTAATTTCTTTCAAAAATTCTTAATGTTCGGTGATTGTGAGTTACGGCCATTAGTTGACTGAAATGGTTTTCAGGATGATATCCCAGTAATGTCATCAGCAATAACCTTGAAAAGGCTATGATATACAGATGAGTTTGTTAACCATGCATAGAGTTCAATTCTTGATAATGATAACGCGTGAGGAAAAAGCTGTGCTAGAAAGAGATAAATTTTACTTAGTAATATCTTTAAACTTTAACTTCTTATAATTGTTTGAGGAGAAATATAGTGAAACAAAATAAAAAAGAGAAAAATAAATAATAATGTTGCAACTTTCATTTCAAATCTTAAAATTAGTTTAATCCAATCCAATTCATTTTTATAATTGAATTTTATTATATTGAGTTAATTCATTTTGATATCTCTAAGAAATTTTAAATAACTCTGATCTACACAAAAAATAATTATACCTAAAAATATTTTGTTCTAAGAGACGTGATAATTCTAGATGAAATAAAAAAAATAACTTTTATTTTCTATAAATATGAACAAAATTTAAGTATAATTGATGTTGTTCTCCAATAAAATATATAATTTTACATCGATAATATATACTTGTATTTAATATAAATTTGGTGTTAATATCAATAAATATGCATTTATGCTTATTATCAAAATAAAACTCTAATTCTAATTAAAAGATAATACTAACCACACATCCAATGAACTCTAGTTAAGTTTTTGTACTAAAATTATTTAGTTTAAGCGAGTAAAACTCAAATATTTGTCCTTATATTTGTTAATTTGTTGTATATAAAACCTATAATGTTGTTTACAATTCATAAAATAGATGAATAGGTCAATGTAAGTAGATATTTACCTATAAATTTTTTATTTTTAGTAACATTTTTTGTTTATCATTATTATGAGTCAACATTTTTTGTTTATCACTATGAGTCAAATTTCTTGTAGTACTATAAAATTTGTTCTGGAGTATCTTTGAAAATGTTTTGTCCAAAGTTATCCTATTTGATCAATGTTCTCTTGAGTTAATGGTTTTTTCTCAACAAATATCTACATGTTTAAGTTAATAACATAACAATATTAGATCATAATTTATAAAGATTAAAATTAATGTTGTTGTTTAAAATTAAATACATTATCATATGTTTTATAGGGCCTTTTGTAACACTCTATTTTTTTATAAATAAAATAAAATAATAAGAAATTAAAATTTATTTATTTATTTTGCAAACAAAAAATAAATTAATTAGGCCTTAATTAAATATTAGTTAATCATAGAGTAAAATGCTTTTGAAAATTAGTTGTTGGATTTTAATTAGATAATGGTTATAAATATTATAAGAAGACTTTGAAAATAAAAGGTAAAGTTGGGAAGTTGGATTTCTAAAATGAAAATACTTTAAATTATTGGGTTTGGTCTCTAAGGTCCAATAGTCTTTAGATAACAAAAAAAATATTATATTAAGTCTAACCTAATACATTGATCTATTGTTTTTTTTTTTCTAGAATAGTTTCGTGTAGTTAGAATCCTTTGTATAAGAGTTTGGATTTGGTGGGAATGAGATTACATCACAACAAGGTAAGAAGGGAGTGAGACTATATCTCATTCATTGTGTGGAATAAATGTAGGTAGTGAAATTATCTTTTAGATATTTGACAAACATAATTTACAAGTTGTAAAATTGATTGTAAGTTCAAGCATCCAATTCACATAAACTTGTCAATAATTAACTATTGAATTTCAATGCTATTTTGGAAAAGATGATTTTAGCTTTTGAACATGTATATTAAAATTATCTTTCATGATTTCGATTTCAAAAGGTAGAGATTTTTTTTTTTTAAATCAAGATTAAATGATGTTGGAAATTGATTTCACTATATCCTTCCTTACATGTATCAACCAATTACTCAATCCAATATTTAATTCTTGTTAATCCAACAACCCACAATTGTATTTTAACCATAATCTCTTATGTAAGAAATTATAAATTCTTTAATTAAAATCTTTGGTAAAATTAAACTAAGTAATTTGCATTTAGATTTGAGGTTTTAATGTTGACTAATTTTAGTAACACTTACATTATTCCTAGTCATAAGTGTTATTAGAGTTCCTTTTTAGATTATGATTTCAAAAATGTTTTACAACAACAATTAAATCTATGTCTTTATATCATGGTTGGTTAATCCCAAAATAAACATTAAAAATTGATAAATGAATAATTAATTAATAATATAATACTTTATTGAACAAAATATAATATTACACTTAACAAAGCCACTTATGTCCAATAGTGAAATAAAGGGATTTAAAGTAAGTTATTTTGGAGTTATTACCTTAGTTTTAGACTTAACGTAGTTGGTCAATGGAGAAACTTATCATTTCTACATCAATTTTTTGATCAACATAGAAATGATCAAATTCTATATTGATTGACTTTAATAGAAGTACAATTTTACGTTTATTTTAATATTCTTTTTGTTTTTGACTAAAACAAAACATGTAATGCAAATTTAAACTCTAGGTAGATTCACAAATATATAATTACAGAATGAAGCTCCAAAATTAATAATTCACCCTAAATAATAAAAAAAAATAACATTAAAATTACACAAATTGATAATGTTCCTCTAAATTAGTGCACGAAAAACTCTAAAGTATCCACCACACCACAAGACACAAGTACATATTCATTTCATACTTAACTACTATAACTTGAGCAATAATAAACCAAAAACATAAAATTCTAAAAAGAAATATATACGATCAATATTATTCTTAATTTGAACAACAAACTCGGCCCATTCACATCATATTTTCAAAATCTCGTTGTGAGGCGATGAATGAGCATCTTGAAACAACGAATAAATCAATAAATATTAATGCATAATATGTATTATAAATACTAATATTAATTAGCACCTGGTGATAGCAATTTGCGTCTCTTAACTAAATTATTAAGAGTTTGAATCTAACTTTGGGTGTATTATAAACTATATTGGGAGAAAAATATCTACCTTGTATACCTTTATGGTCTCTAACGGAGATTAATCACTTCTTCCAACAACGAATACTTCATACCTATATCATAATTATCTATTGGGAATCTGCCCTTAGATGTTGTCCACGTAATTTTGATTTTTTTAGTTTGAATAAGTCAATTAGTTAGTTGATTAAAAAAGTTATTGTGTTATTATCGGTTGGTTTCAAAAAAAATTCTTCAGTTATTATTAGAAACTCCTAAAATCATGAAGTATTATTTTTTTCTTTAGTCATTTCAATGTATTTAAATATAACTCATATTCAATAAAATAAGGTATGCTTTGCATTGAAAAATAACTACAAAAAATATGTAATTTAGCGACCACCAAAATCTGTCGCTAAATTACTAAAATCGGTCGCCATTTACCTTAGCGACCGAATTTAATTAGTCGCTAAAACCTTGGTCGCTAAGCTATTTAGCGAAGAAAAAATTTTCGGTCACTATTTAGCAACCGAAAATTTCAGTCGCAAAATAGTTGCAATAATTTTTGTCGCTAAAGTGTATGAGACCAAATTAGTGACCGAATAAATCGGTCGATAAATATTTATTTTTTATTTTATTAAATTTAATAGAGTCGCAAATTTGGTCGCTACAAACCACTCATATTTGGCCTTTTAAGAATTATATTTTACAATACTTAACTTTTTAGCATGTTTTGTCCTTAATTACACAATTTTTGAAACTTCCCAAAAGGTCACTCATCCCTATATTACTCAAAGTCAAACACGCTTAATTGTGCAGTTCTTATGAGATAAGCTACCGAAAAGCAGATGCATGTTGTTAGTATAAGTAGTGCAAATTAATTCATTTAAGTCATCCTCAACTATCCAATCTCATACTTATATTATTTTTGAATCCTTATCATTTTGGTATATCCGGACCGTTATAAATATATAATAATATATATAATAATTATATTACTAATAATAATAATTATATTATATTTAATTAATCTTTATTTATATATATACTTACTTTTATAATTAACAATCTACTTATTTCTATTTAAAATTAATTTTATGATACAATTTAAATTATTTATTATAAATTTAAAAGTTTAAGTAATAATTTATATATTTTAAAATGAGAAGGGTTATAATAACACTGGTATAACTTTTACTAAGTATTACACCGCTCAATAAATTTATATTAAATGTGAATTTTGTAAATCCAACCGATAGATTGAAAGTTCATATCACTTTATATGTTTATATCAATTTTTGTTAAAATTGAACAACAACTTAAAAGTAATCAAAGTGCTCATATTTTATTTGAAATGTATATATTACGTCAATTTTGTTTTACAAGAATGAAGTATCAAATCATCTTGAATTCATATAAGATTCTGTATATATGATCTAAGAGTAAAAAACTTTCAATCTAACGGTTGAATTTATAAAATTCACATTTAATATAAAATTATTGAGCGATATAATACTTAGTAAAAGTTACACCGATATTATTATAACCCTTCTCTTTTAAAATATTATTTTTAAATTAAATTTTAATATTTTAAATAAACTATTAATTAACTTAATATATTTATTCATCTTAAATCTAAGATATAAAATTCAAAAAATGTATTTATCCTTGTTTTATTTTCTAATTATCAACCATTAATAAAATACTAATTTAAAATCTTATCTAGTTATATCATAATATTTTCATATCAAGTTTAAAATCATATATTAGTTATACAAAAATCATAAAATCATATAGTAAATTATTAATAAGATTCTAGTTAAATAATTTAAAATAATCAATTTTATCACACAATAATAAAGAAATAATAATAGATAAGAAAATACATTTGTATTCTTCCTATTAGAAAAAGAGAGGATGTTATAATTCTTTTTTTCCTTAAGATATCACATCTCTTCTATCAATAAAATTTAAATATAAAAATTTATTTAAAAAT